TCCTTCAAACTATTTAAGTATCAATAAAACAAGACTTAATTAAAGAGTTTCTTAGGTTTTTATTTACATATGCATATCAAAAATACTTATTTTTTTTTAGTTTTTTTCATATCAGTCTTATTTACATTTACTTAAAAATATAAAGTGGTATTCAATACCATCACAATAAAAAGAAAATCATATATGGAGATCCATTTTGTTACTAAGCCTACTAGTTTTTAAAAAGAGTAATATATCTTAAACTAAAAAAATTCATCACATTACTTATTGTACTGGTTTTTCTTATATCTAGAGGTACATGTTGTATAAAAATATTAAATTAAAGTGAATTCAAGCAACAAACAAAACAAAAAATTAAATACTACACTTCTACCAAAAAAATTTTACATAAAAAAGATAAAATAAAAAAATTCAGTTAAAAATATTTCCTAATGGCACGGACTACTCAGAATCCGAATCTGAGGTCAAGAGCAGCGCTGATGAGTCGATGTGCGGATGGTCCGTCTGCACCATTTGCCCAAATACAGCCAAAAGCGGTGATATTTTTTTATTGATCCTTGGCTGCATCGACACCTCACCATCGCCGCTATCAATTAAAAATGGAGGGTGAAAATTATCTTTCTTGGAAGCATATGAGTGGATGCAGTCAAAAAACTCCCAATCTTTCGCCTCTTCAGCAGTCGCCTCTTCACCTGTTCCATCGCCCGAGCGATATTTGAAAAAGCTTTTATATTTTTTCATCAACGCATTCCATTGTGCTTTACATGCTTCAGCACTTTTACCGTCCAGGCGATCCTTCAGCTCATTCGCGATTTTTCTAAGAAAAAACTTCTTAATAAAGTCTTCAAATTATTTATATTGTTCTAACTCACTTCCAGCCTTCGTTGCTGTTGGCGTTCTTTGAGCTGAACCAAACATCATTGTCAATGCGCCTTTCCAGAAGGATTCTGCGTTCTGAACTGCTCCCTGTAAAATAGTATTAATTAAAAAAATACATAACGCCTTTTCATATGTAAATCTGAAATTAAGTCTTACAAGTTATATAGCTTTTCTTTATTTTTTTTGCCGGCGGGACCATTTTATTTTATTTCCACTCGCTTTTGTTTTCTTTAATTTATGTGTATACTTGCGTTGTTCGTTCTTCTTCTTGATAATGCTTGCTGTCAAATTTTTCACTAGCCCTGCCGTATCAAACATTTTTATTCACCTCATAGCTGTCAAAAATTTACTATCCAGAGTACTTTTCTATCAATTGGCACAGCCCTAGTGGAGACACGAACCAAAACATATTTACCTCCTATATCTTTCCAACTAGTAGCCGGAGCTTAATATATAAGATATTGTTTGAAATGTATTGGCCTATAGAATAACACTAAATATGTTGGGTGTATCCACATGCCCCCTTAAACCGCCAAAAGCAAAAAAACGTTTTTTGTTTCGCAACATTTTAGCCTAATTTTTAAGAATCCGGCTATTCCTTTATGAAGCTTAAATACATTTTATGGACACACTCTGCATGGCCTTTCCAACGATATCTCAAACATGTCGATTGGACGTCTGGATAAAAACTTCCAAATCTCGTGTATATATAAGCGAGTCATTTCAGCATGCTACTGTGGCTGCTTTCGTCACTCGCGCGCACTGTCGTTCGCTGTGATATGTATTATAGTAAATAAGAAAACATAGAATTAAATAAGTTTAAATTTGTATAAATTAGGAAAGAACTCACAAGAACGTACTAGCAAGAGAACCTACATATTTTTTTCATACAGTCATGAAGCCATAGCAATTTCAATGATAAAAACCANAATTAAAAAAATACATAACGCCTTTTCATATGTAAATCTGAAATTAAGTCTTACAAGTTATATAGCTTTTCTTTATTTTTTTTGCCGGCGGGACCATTTTATTTTATTTCCACTCGCTTTTGTTTTCTTTAATTTATGTGTATACTTGCGTTGTTCGTTCTTCTTCTTGATAATGCTTGCTGTCAAATTTTTCACTAGCCCTGCCGTATCAAACATTTTTATTCACCTCATAGCTGTCAAAAATTTACTATCCAGAGTACTTTTCTATCAATTGGCACAGCCCTAGTGGAGACACGAACCAAAACATATTTACCTCCTATATCTTTCCAACTAGTAGCCGGAGCTTAATATATAAGATATTGTTTGAAATGTATTGGCCTATAGAATAACACTAAATATGTTGGGTGTATCCACATGCCCCCTTAAACCGCCAAAAGCAAAAAAACGTTTTTTGTTTCGCCACATTTTAGCCTAATTTTTAAGAATCCGGCTATTCCTTTATGAAGCTTAAATACATTTTATGGACACACTCTGCATGGCCTTTCCAACGATATCTCAAACATGTCGATTGGACGTCTGGATAAAAACTTCCAAATCTCGTGTATATATAAGCGAGTCATTTCAGCATGCTACTGTGGCTGCTTTCGTCACTCGCGCGCACTGTCGTTCGCTGTGATATGTATTATAGTAAATAAGAAAACATAGAATTAAATAAGTTTAAATTTGTATAAATTAGGAAAGAACTCACAAGAACGTACTAGCAAGAGAACCTACATATTTTTTTCATACAGTCATGAAGCCATAGCAATTTCAATGATAAAAACCAAGCTAAAAGGTACAGCAATGAAAATTCTATCCGAGAGATAAATCAAAGATTAAAATCGACTATTAAAGGTGAGTCAGTGGAGGTTTTGACAGCAAAACTACTGAACATACAACAACGTAATAAAACTGCCAACCAGTATACTACTGAAATAGAGAAACTAACAAAATCATTAGAAGGAGCATACATATCTGACGGATTAACCCTAGAATTAGCAACCAGATATGCCACACAATAAGCTGTAAAAGCCATGTGCAAGAATTGCTCTAACAACAAGGTAAAAATGATAATGCAAGCAGGAACGTTCACATCCATGAACGAGGCTATATCAAAATTTACAAACAGTTGTACTGAAATAACGGGTAGCCCAAACTCAGTTTTGCACATACGCCAACAAGGCTACTACCGTGGTAGCTTCCGTAGAGGTTATCAAGGTAATAGACTCAGAACACCGCCCCGATACAACAATAATTCAAGACAAAATAATCAATTTCAAAACAGGAATAGAAATGTTAATAATCAATCGCGAACTAGTCGCAATGATACTCGCAATGTTCGTAATTGCAACCAGCAGGAAAACCAGCAAACTCCACTTCAACAGTAGATAACAAAAAAGTGCGTATACTTAACCTACACCTAAATAGCTACATATCTTCCAAAACTTCTTTAAATAATTCAATTTCAACTCTCTTGATAGACACAGGAGCAGACATATCAATTACAAAAAAGGGTCAAATTGATAGTAATATTACAATTAATAATTCACAAATAACTGATTTGAAGGGCATTGGTCAAGCAATAGCAAGCACTCTAGGTAGAGTCAAAGCAGATTTAAAAGGAGATGATATCTTAATTAGACACAAATTTCATATAGTAGAGGACAATTTTCCAATTCCAGGCAATGGAATTCTAGGGTTAGACTTTATAAAGAAATATAATTGCATTTTAGATTATCGAAAAGATGAAGATCAATAAATATTGAGACCTTACGACTTCCCAGAAAATATAATAATTCAAATGACAAATAGACCAACTATCAATACAATCACNTTTCTTTAATTTATGTGTATACTTGCGTTGTTCGTTCTTCTTCTTGATAATGCTTGCTGTCAAATTTTTCACTAGCCCTGCCGTATCAAACATTTTTATTCACCTCATAGCTGTCAAAAATTTACTATCCAGAGTACTTTTCTATCAATTGGCACAGCCCTAGTGGAGACACGAACCAAAACATATTTACCTCCTATATCTTTCCAACTAGTAGCCGGAGCTTAATATATAAGATATTGTTTGAAATGTATTGGCCTATAGAATAACACTAAATATGTTGGGTGTATCCACATGCCCCCTTAAACCGCCAAAAGCAAAAAAACGTTTTTTGTTTCGCCACATTTTAGCCTAATTTTTAAGAATCCGGCTATTCCTTTATGAAGCTTAAATACATTTTATGGACACACTCTGCAAGACCTTTCCAACGATATCTCAAACATGTCGATTGGACGTCTGGATAAAAACTTCCAAATCTCGTGTATATATAAGCGAGTCATTTCAGCATGCTACTGTGGCTGCTTTCGTCACTCGCGCGCACTGTCGTTCGCTGTGATATGTATTATAGTAAATAAGAAAACATAGAATTAAATAAGTTTAAATTTGTATAAATTAGGAAAGAACTCACAAGAACGTACTAGCAAGAGAACCTACATATTTTTTTCATACAGTCATGAAGCCATAGCAATTTCAATGATAAAAACCAAGCTAAAAGGTACAGCAATGAAAATTCTATCCGAGAGATAAATCAAAGATTAAAATCGACTATTAAAGGTGAGTCAGTGGAGGTTTTGACAGCAAAACTACTGAACATACAACAACGTAATAAAACTGCCAACCAGTATACTACTGAAATAGAGAAACTAACAAAATCATTAGAAGGAGCATACATATCTGACGGATTAACCCTAGAATTAGCAACCAGATATGCCACACAATAAGCTGTAAAAGCCATGTGCAAGAATTGCTCTAACAACAAGGTAAAAATGATAATGCAAGCAGGAACGTTCACATCCATGAACGAGGCTATATCAAAATTTACAAACAGTTGTACTGAAATAACGGGTAGCCCAAACTCAGTTTTGCACATACGCCAACAAGGCTACTACCGTGGTAGCTTCCGTAGAGGTTATCAAGGTAATAGACTCAGAACACCGCCCCGATACAACAATAATTCAAGACAAAATAATCAATTTCAAAACAGGAATAGAAATGTTAATAATCAATCGCGAACTAGTCGCAATGATACTCGCAATGTTCGTAATTGCAACCAGCAGGAAAACCAGCAAACTCCACTTCAACAGTAGATAACAAAAAAGTGCGTATACTTAACCTACACCTAAATAGCTACATATCTTCCAAAACTTCTTTAAATAATTCAATTTCAACTCTCTTGATAGACACAGGAGCAGACATATCAATTACAAAAAAGGGTCAAATTGATAGTAATATTACAATTAATAATTCACAAATAACTGATTTGAAGGGCATTGGTCAAGCAATAGCAAGCACTCTAGGTAGAGTCAAAGCAGATTTAAAAGGAGATGATATCTTAATTAGACACAAATTTCATATAGTAGAGGACAATTTTCCAATTCCAGGCAATGGAATTCTAGGGTTAGACTTTATAAAGAATTATAATTGCATTTTAGACTATCGAAAAGATGAAGATCAATAAATATTGAGACCTTACGACTTCCCAGAAAATATAATAATTCAAATGACAAATAGACCAACTATCAATACAATCACAATACCAGCTATATCAGAAGTAATTCGACAAATTAACATAAAAAATGACAATTTTGAACTTTTTATTCCCCATCAAAAATTAACAGAAGGAATTTTTATTGCTAACACCATAGCAAATAAATATCAAACGTTTGTTAGAATCATAAACACCACAGATAAAAACGCAGTTATTCAAAATTACAATGTAAAAGCAGAAAATTTAAATGACTACATACTAATTAAAAACGCTTCAGAAAATAAAAATAATAGTAAAGAAAAATTAGAGAGACTAAATAAGCACTTTCCACAATTTGCTAGCCAACAATTAAATTCATTGTGCGCAGAATATATAGACATATTTGCATTAGAAACAGAACCTATTACTGCCAACAATTTTTTTTAAACAAAAACTACATATGAAAGATGAAAAACCAGTGTATGTAAAAATTACAGATTACCACAGGCTCATAAGGATGAAATAAATAAACAAGTAAATAAACTAATTAAAGATGACATAATAGAACCATCTATGTCAGAATACAATAGCCCCATCCTATTAGTACCTAAAAAATCACTACCAGGTAATAAAGATAAAAGATGGAGATTACAGAGCTGTAATCCAGAATTGATGATATCCTAGATCAATTAGGAAGAGCAAAATATTTCTCATGTTTGGATCTAATGTCCGGTTTTCACCAAATAGAATTGGACCCGGATTCTAGAGATGTTACATCGTTTACAGCAGACGATGGCATTTATCGTTTCAAAAGATTACCCTATGGCTTGAAAGTAGCACCCAATTCCTTCCAAAGAATGATGACTTTAGCATTCGCAGGTCTTAAACCCTCACAAGCATTTTTATATATGGATGATTTGGTAGTATTAGGATGCTCCGAAGATCATATGATGCAAAATCTGTGAGATGTATTTTCAACTTCCAGAAAATAGAATTTGAAGTTACATCCTGATAAATGTTTATTTTTTAGTGAAGAAGTTACTTATCTTGGACATAAATGCACAAGCAAAGGAATTTTACCAGATCCAAATAAATTCGAAATTATTCAAAACTACCCAACTCCCAAAACTGCTGACGAAGTCAAACCAAATTTCGCAGAATACTCTAGAATTTTAACAAGACTTTGTAAAAATAATGTACCTTCGGGGCATCAGCACATATAAGCGAGATGTTGAAGAATCTCATTTTGATGCGTCCTGTACCATACCTGTATGGTAAACTAAATAGCCGGGCAAGACGTTATTCTAAATTTAAATTAAAAAAATGTCTGTATATTGTGTTATATTCCTCCGCAATATTGTAAGATAACCCTCTAACCGTTATAACCGTCTGTAGACGGTCCTTGGCTTGTTGCTAATAAATGTTATTAAAATTAGATAGCAATATTAAAAACCATAACAACGGGTTTTAGTGGTTATATGCTTTGTGAATACAACTAATAGCGCTTTTTGCTCCATATTTTGAGTATACGTCTCAGTTAAAGTTGTGAGTCAGTGTTAAAGGTGAAATAAATTACTGTCATAAATAGTGATTTTGTAGCTCCCAAGGCGAATTAATATAAGGTGGTGTTACTAGCTCAGCTGATTTTGTATATGTGTT